ACAAGAAGTCTTAAACTGCAGGTATGATTTCAGATTATACACTTCTTGTTTTCTACCTTAAAATGAAGGTAATTTGTGCTGTCAGACTGCCATGAAATTAAACTACCTGGTAGAACTGGCAGCACAGAAGGCACATTTGACAGGTATACTAGGTAAGCATACTAAGAGGATGACTTCAAACTACCTATTCTATTCCAGTCTTTACCAACTGAGTGCTTCAAGGTTGTTTATCAAAAGGAGTTGACTCAAGGGAGCTAGTTTAAAGAGCATTTACTCCTTCAAGGCCATTTTTTAGGTCATTGTCTAAAAAGTTGCACTGTAACCAGTGCACAGGAGTAATAAGCATAAGAAAGTGTAAAAGTTCAAAGTGATTTGCTTGCAACATGTCCAAGAAAACAAAACCCCTTTTGGTTTAAGCTAAATATCCTTGGTTTAAAACAATTTCTTTTTTATCTAGAATAGGTAGCAACAAAAGCAGTATTTCAGATTCTAAGTAACATTATTAGTTCGATTGTAAGTTATGTTGTATCATTTTTATTTCAAATTTTTTTAAACTTCTTAAATTCTGTACATATTTCCCACCCTGATACTGGTACTACTGATAGTTTTTCACCATCCCTTTCTTTGTTTATCAAAATATTTTCTAAAGCCTTATGTTTATGTTACAAAATCCCTTAGTTTAAATGTAAATAAGTATATGAAAAATACCTATATTTCTCTCTCCAAAATACTCAAAGGAATAGACGATGCATAGCATTTTTACTTTATTTTTAAGGCCAAAGAAAGAACAAGGTCTCACCCTTCCAAACCATTAGAAAAAAAAATGTTTCAATGCATCCAAAAAAACCTAAGCATAAAGAAATTAGATGAAGTATTGTGTAAATGAACTAACAAGTGGGAAAATTAAGTTTTAAAGATAAATTTGATATTAGTGAAACAGATGTAAATGTCAACCCAAATGGTAACACTATCAGTCAATGCTCATGATGGCAAAAAATGTTCTAGTTACTGCAAATCACTTTCTAGCTTCTATACATACATTAAAAAGTTGCTTTGCAGGGAGAGAGACTTGGTCTCTGGAGTCCTAATTAAAAGTTGTTTTACTGTTGAAAAGTCATGAAAAATAGTGCTAGAGGTTCATGTAGGAACTAATCTCCATTTAAATCAATAGATTTGTGTTTAAGCCAATTTCAATTGAAGAAGAAAGCAAGAAAATGTCAGTTAGCAAGCTGAAAAGCAATACACTACAGTGGCATAAACTAGTAAGTGTGCTACGAAGGATCCTAAGGACCTAAAATGCTATTTAAAGCCCCTTGGGTTGGATATTATGTCTATCCTAGGCAAGAAAGCAGCTACCGTTGCTTGTCTAAATCTAGACAAACATTTATTTTGCAAAGTAGGGAGAGAACATGGAAACGAGTTCATTGAAAAACTGGCACAGCTCTTTCGTGTCCTGCAGGTTTTCCCTAAGTACAGGCAATGAGCAAGAGAATAGAAAAATAACATTTAAAGGAAATTAACAATTACAGTTGTCTACAGGGACAGGATGGAAAATGAAGCCAAAGGAAACTGGAGAGAAGTACAGAAAGAGTAGTTTTGTAGTGGTAAGTTCAACTATTATTTTCAGGAAATACATGACAGTCTTTACATTGAAGTTAACTATTGTCCAGTGGATAACAACAGTTGGCTGCTTTATTTTCAAGGTGAGATGGGAAGATTCTTGTAGTATTCTAGATGTCTTATAGCAACTTCCATTAGTCCTTGTTTAGCAATTGAGGAAGTAGACTCAAAATCATAAGCCTTTCATTATTTTGTAGGGGGTTAAATCAACATTAAAGCATTTTAGTCAAATACAGGGGGGTTATTTTGGATTTGCTTTCAAATCTACATATTAGAGAGGGAAAAATTGATGTCTGGAAATATTTTTTCACATACATTTCTGGTTTTAAGTAAGTTAATAATAGATGCCTATTGTATTTCAGTATTACCATCACTGCAAACAAAAAATACTTGAGGTTCTTTTTCCATGTTATTTCCAATTAAAGAAGAAATAAATTACTTCCAGTATTTAACATAGGCACACATACTATGAACATTTGGGGCTTTAAGTGTCATTTACGTTCAGGTGATAAATGGTGTATTACCTATGGCAACATCTTAGAGAAGCACCAGCTGTGTCCCTACTAAAACACTGTGCAGAAGAACATGTAATTTTTGTGATTTCCCGAAGCCCTGTGACGTCTTCTAACCAGTACTAGCCAGTCTCAGTATTAAAATCTCTGCCTAAAACAGGAGCTAGGTTGAATATACTACAGCTACATTAGGACTGTTGCTCCCTACCTACTTCAAAAGCAGATTCAGACATAGCACAAGTTTCAAAACAATTGCTACTCTTTTACTATCGCTATTAAACAAGCTAGCCTTCCAGAGTGTTCATTCACTATAACAAGACGTTTATCATTGTCATGCATATTTTAAACCAAGCATATGGAGTTATCCCTTTCTGGGTTAAGTCTTCCATGCTAGATGGGCACATGAAGCCCCAGAGATTACTTGCAAAGCTGCACAGAAATACTGAATGAAGTTCTTAATGGTTTGCGTTACAAGGGAATCAATTAACTGAAATGACAAAACTTTCCTATTGACACGTAAGTTTGAACACATCACTGCCTACAGTGGGATATAAGCAACTGGGAAGGAAAATAAAAGTCTTCAGTGAAAATTAAACCTCCAGAAACATGAAAAATACGAACTTGCAGGATTTTTGCAGTGGTTTCTTATAGACACCTGTAAGAAGGACAAAAAACCATCCAGTGCGGAAATTGAGAAAGATGATAGAAAACCAGTATCAGTGTTCGGAGTTCAATGTGTCACAACTTCTCTCAAGAGGAATCTTGAGGACAAATGATACTATGTATCGAGGACAAATGATACTACCACACAGGTATCATTAAATACTATTCCAGATCTTCAAAGAGAAAATCTAGGACACATTTGAGAACACAGATTTGCACTCTTGATAAAACATTTATCAGAAGAGTGTTTTGTTTTTTCTTAAGGTGAGCAAAGCATTCAGAAAGCAGCAGGTTGCTTTGGTGTCTCTTTTTGGTTTTTTTGCCTCCACCCTCCAGAAATATAAAGTACAAGACATTTATAGAAGAGCCTAGGGAAGCACAGAGGCACCCGGAGTGCCTTCTCCAGGTGGTGTGAAAGGAGATTTCCACTCCTCCCTCAATGCACAGGCTTCCGTTCCTCACCCTCAGCATTCACTCCAAACTGAAAGTTGAAGAACTGATTTATTACTTTATTTACTTAACTAGACAGCATGCTGCAACGCGCATGAAGTATACTAGACTGCAAGCATCCTGAACTCCTATGTTTTCTCCTCCATCATTTCTTACAATCTTTTGATCTTTTACATATAGCAAACTATAACAGAGTTACAGAAACATATGCGGTACTCAAGGATGCATAATATTAATTGCTCAACCAACCTGCATTGATGCATTGGATTTAACATGCCACATTGAATTACTCATCGTATTTCTAACGTTACCAAGTCAACTGGGGCAGAGACATCTGCAGTTTAGCTGGCATGTTTTTTAAACACCTGCTTCTTATTGTATCACTAGGTTTGAATGGAAGCACACACATCAGACCTTGCATATTTGAGTGTCCGACGACATAGTTCATAAATATTTATTTCATTAACTCTTATTCACTCTTGTGAAAGATGTCTGCATTTTATTGGAAAAAATAGCTTTACTAATACACCATACACTGAATTGATTTGTTTTGTACTGAAGTTGCTGTAATTCCTTTGAAGAAAACCCATAAACGTAGTATTTGAGTGTTCTTCTAATACCAAGGAAGAGAACATGTATTGGTACAGACATGCTTATATCAAATGCCACCATCGCCTTGTTAATGTTCTCTTTTTTCATATATATGTATTTAAAGATACTATCATGGAAGAAAGGCAATATGCATCCAACAATCCCCTTTAACTTAATAATACAAAACATTTAAGAATAATAGTTGAAGGCAATATTAAGCTAAAACCTTCTCTAATTTTCAAGTGTTTCATTGTCAGAAAAGAGAGATGGTCATTTACTGCACGCTTTCGGCCTTGTTTTTTCCCCCATGAGATTGTCACAACTGCTATACATAACTGTCACACCACATTACAGAACTGTGATTTTTATTTTGCAAAGAAACTAAGGAATGTCAATATGGTAAAGAGCATCGAGCATCTTCAGCATTTTATACAAAACCAAGAAAAACATTCAACTTTTAAGATGAATAAATGGGACTATAACTTGCTGATTAAATGAGTCCAACTATTGGACATTCTTGTAGCAATAGTGTTAGCAAGCAATGCAACAGTTGTATTTTACAGTTTATGAACAATAAAAGCATTGCAAACTCCTGCTAATTCTATGTGTCAACAGCAGGATGTGCCTCCTATCCCTATGATTTGTCCTTGCCTACCTCATTAAGACCCTGCTCATCATTGAGAAGCTATGAAACATAAGTCATTTATAGATAATTCCGAACAATTAATAATTGAAATTAGCACAGGGTTATCTCAGGTAAATTCACTGTTACCCTAAAAAGTTTAGGAGAATAGAAAAATAGAGACAAAAGACAACCCAGCTGTGCAAGGCAAGGCTTGCCACCTGACAAACTTGTGGGACAACTACTAAAATACTAGTCCGAGTTGTAGATCAGAGTAACCTGAATTAGAGCCTAACACATTTTTAAAAGTTATTTCTGTTACAATTAGGAACCACATCGATTTTATTTTCTTGTCTTATAATACATCTTACAGACAGAAAAACAATGCATTTTTGTACTAACTCTTTATAAAAGCACTTATGCTCCAAACTTCAGCATTGTGATTAAGTACTGTGGGTGTAAAATGATGTCAGATCATTTTATTTCCCTGCCAAGCATTCTGTAGATGAGAAAATGAAAGACTTGTTCCTAAGATTACTTACCCATGAAGTTCAGATAGCTCTCTCCTCCAAGTGCATGAGTAATGAGACGAATCATTTTATGAAGCTGTATTCCACGATCAATAACTGCAGTAAGGGGCGAGAGCACACTCATGTTTGTATACATCTCTGCATCCATCAGTCGAAACGCCAATGTCTTATCACCAACGAGCGCCTGTAACAGTTTAAAGAAAAGGAAAACCCTTGGGTATACTAGAAGCATTTCTAACAAGCACTCCGTATCATAAGGGGAGGACTCAGAAGACTGGTGAGGAGTCGATTACTACAACTTTGTATTGTATGATGGGTAATTACATTGGTGTGATAAATATAATCTGCTGCCAAAAAGAGAAAGTATGTGAACGGAGGCAGGTACCTCCCTGAGCTGAGCCTCACCTGCATGCCAGGCTCAACCAGCTGTTTCCCGGTCGCAACCCTCTGCATAGTCACTGGGGCTCCCCGCACCGATGGGAGTGTGAGTATATGATCAAACTCTCTAAACCCTGTCGTGATCCTACATGTCACCCGATGGGATCAAACTGCACTTCCGAGAACCTTTTTGTCTACAGGTATCAAATGTGAAATGTTGGCGTCAACTCAATAGGCCAGAAGTCACCAACGATTTTGGAATTTTTATAAAAATCACAGGAAATAAGAAAACAAACATTTTAAGGAACGTTCCTGGGATTACTAACAACACTCCTGATTTAGAGATGCAGACTGAATATGAAGTATTCATTTACATGCAATCAAGAATGTGATTGGTTTTCCGTGACTTCACACAAGAGAAAAAACAAACTAGGAACTCTGTCTAAAAGCAGTGACTGAATTAGTAACCTGCTAGTGCTTACTGTTACTTGAGAAAGGCCACACAAATGCTGCGTAAAAAGGATTCTTCTAACATATTAGCATGCAGGCAGCTAAAAACATTTTGGAGTGTTTGTATGTAAATATAGCTAATTTTTGTTCCATTAGCCCAATTCTCATCTTATACTCTAGCATGAAAACTTTATAGATTCCAGAGAGACAGATGAGTTGTAAACAGGTCTAGCTGAAAAGCGCCATCACCTCTTAGTTTTCAGACTAACAACGTAACAGCATACATAGATGACTCCCTCCAGTAAAAAAATAATCTTAAATAATAATATTCCTATGTGACAATGGCAAGACTTAAGACTGCAAGGAACAACCCTTCTCTGGACTCGGAATGTGCCATTTGTTAGTGTCATTTAGCATCGCCTAATCTTTCCACTAGAAGAGCAGGTAAACATTCCCTATTCATGTTTTGCATGCCAGCCATGATCTTATAGACTGCTATCCTTCTTCCCCCTTCAGTGATCTCTTTGCAGCCCTGAAGAGTCTCAGCCTATTTAATTTTCTTCTTATGAAAACCAATCCACACTTGTTATTATCCTTACCAATTCTCTCACAGCATTTTTCCCAGTTATGCTGTATATCCTTCAAGATACAGGACCAAATCTGCCTCCAACATTCAAGATGCACACAAACCACGAAAGACTGCTGTAGCATACTGATTTTTGCTCTTTGCTTTCCACTCCATTCATAATAATTCCCGTACTGTATCTGCTTTTTTTGACAACTATTAGCATTGAACTGCTATTTTCACACACTTCTTATAACCATGAGGCCTTGTATTCTGACTGGTACTAACTCATAGCCAAGAAACTAGAATTGTTTCAGCTCCTCATGTGCATTACTTCAAGTATCTTCAGACTGAATTTTACCTCATTTACTCCCATTTTTTTCCTCTGTCCTACTTTTCACATATCAACCCGGTGTATTTTGTTCTTTTTTAATTTAAAATAAATAGAATTTCTTCCCATGTATGAGACTCTAAACCAAAAATACATAGTGATATGGAAAACAACCCAATTGACAAAATCCAGCATGAAATAAAAGAACAGCAACGGTAATGTTGTATGTCCTGCTTTAGGATGAAGAATCAGCTTTTATAAAAGCTAATAATCAGAAGACAAAATTAATTTCCAAGTAATACCTGAAATCTTTTACCAGGATTGGGACTTTCCTTGTACACCTTGAGCGAACACTGTGTAACAATCTCGGAGATAAGAATCTTAATAGGTAGACAAAACGAAGCCGATAAACTCAGAATTCTCTCTTTAAAGTAAAGCCTTATTTCAGACACTTCTGTTGGCTTTTATTAGAGAAGGTATAGAAAATAGGATACAAATCTCTCATGTAGAGGAAGGAGTTAAAGTTTGGTTATTTAAACCTTTTATTAGAAAATGGATTATGTTTTTTTTTGTTCCTAATTTTCAAATTCTCAACCAATGTGATGTCTGATTCTTTAGAAACAACCATGAGTATTATCCAAACTCATCTTTGCTTTTTCATTGTTCCATATATAGGACCGTTACAATTACTATATTTTGAACCAAACTGTTAAAGAACACTTCGTTTAGATCTCAAATCCTTTCAGAGAGGATTTTCTTGAAGGACAATAGAACAGTCACAAACAGTGATTCAGTGAACAGATGTTTTAAATTGTGACATTGGTTGTGCTGATTATAAATAGTGCTCCAGCTTACTTCATGGAAACCAGCTTTTCAGAAGTATGGATTATATACCTTCCTATGCCCTATGATAGGCAGGCAAAACAAGAAGCTAGGACTTGTTTTTAACAACAAAACTAAGACCACAACCACCCACCTCCAAGTAGGATTCCTTTATTAAATATAAGGATCATAACAAACAAACACACATAAAAAACCAAGGAAAAGTACCCCAGATGTACTCTGAAACTGTTGCCGATCCTTCTCAACTCTTGCCTCCTTTTCAAAAAACAAACCCCACCAAATGTCTAAACCTCACCTTTTATTTGCTGTATACAAACAAACAAATAGATAAAATACCTGGTCATGACTCTCTGCATACGCAATGTATTTTTCTTCATACCGTCTGTTTGTTAATGTATGCACAATATTGCCCATATTCCAGTCTTCATCTTTCAGCTCCTTAATTATCTGTAGAAATAAAGGAAAGATCATCAAAAAGTTACTGCAGTTTTGACTAAAAGCACATTACTACCTTTCTTTATTATCTTGGCATAGGCATTTCCAACGGATTGTAAACTGTATTACTTTAACTCCCTCTATTCCCAAGTTTTGAAGCAACAAGCTTTCTCTGATCACCCAAAAAGATCTTTTGAATTCCATTACGTAAGTATATTAACTAGAACATTTTTGTTTCTCCTGTACTTCCATATATAAGCATGGACTACAAGACTTGCCATTTATTACGTGAATCCTCTGATATGGCAGGCAAGGAGCTACAAAAAAGCTCTGGGAAGAAATATGTGGTCACACACACCTACATACACATGATATTGGAAGAACTTGTATTTCAAGCAACCCTGGCATATGGCAGCTTCCAACTACAGATCTACCACTGGTCTCTGAGATGGAGAATGGAGAGGTCCAAGGCAGTGCTACACTACTGCTATGAAGTACACGATCACATGAGAAGGTGCTTAGCACAAGGACCTTGCATGTTCCCCTGGATCTGTGAATTCACAGTCAGTTCCAAACCTCAGTTTCAATGCCAAAGCTTTGTAATACACTACAAGCTTTACATTTTTTGCCATGCTAAGCTCCCGAGCTTTAGCAACTGAATCACATCAATAGGAATTTTCTGCCTCACACAACACTATTTCCTCCCTCTTCTAAATCCAGTCCAATTTCAGTGTGAAGTCCTTTCTTTTTGCTGTATTATTTTTTACAGATCTCCACCGATCACTACAACTTAAACACACACACATAAATATATAGACATAAAAATTAGAGTGACAAAAAGGCAGTAACATCAAGATGGCTGATACCATGCTGTAAAATTTAACATTCTGACTGTAACTGGCCACATACTCCTAAACAGCCTTTTTTTCTTTGCCCCCAGGTCCCTATGCAGCATCACATTATGTACAATATCTACCTATCTTTAATCTGAACTAATACAGCCACTGTTATGATTGATGAACAGCTTATCTCACTTTTACAGATCCCTCAAAATTAGTTTATGGAACCCTGGAGATCCTTCAGGTTTAAAACTGATTTTAGGAAGTTGCCTAGAAAATTTGCTATTAACAGGTACATACTTAAAAGCTGGTGAGAAATGAAAGCAAGCAGTTTAGGACAGTTTTCTAATGGCTGATAGACTCTGTTTCTAAGCTTTTCCATTCCCATAATTTCAGCTGTATTGTGATAACAAACTACACCTCTTTCTCGACCTCAAGGTCTTCTGCTGTGGTTGCTTATTTGCAACTACCTTAGCTAGAAGCTTTCTGCCTGTACCACCTTATGTTCTTGTACAACCAACGTGTTCTTAAACAACTGGGGTCTGCTGTGAAACAGCCTACACTGTCATAGCTGAATTTACACCCAACATCCCATCAGCATACCCAGCATCCACCTGCTATCCCACATTAAGTACATGCTTAAGCCAGAAGACATTTATCTCTGGTGAAAAACCAGAACTTACTGAGAGAGAGGTACATTTCCTCTCCGAGTATTGAAAATTAAAACAAGCAGACCATATCAGAGATTGCTAAGTTAGATTATCCATCTTTTGCCCTTGTAAAATTCTACAGTCTTTCTTTTTGGTAATACTAACTCAGCCAATTGCATTTTGGCTGCCTAGGAAACTGCTCATCTTTGCCTATCCTGAAGCGTGGTAAGGAAGTTGAAGGTGTAAGGAAAAATAAGAGAAAAGCCATCACAACAAGGTGTTTCTTGTTACTACAGAAATATGAGCCCTCATATTATGAGTTCACATTCCAGGATCTAAATTACACACTCCAAAGTTTAACGATGCTGTCCTTGTTGGAAAAGCTGGCAAGTTTGTCTCCTGAAAAGAAAAATGTTTTTTTCAATCGGCCCTCCACCTTCTAGTTACACAAGTGAAAGATGCTGAAGATAAGTTAATTTGCTTTGTATTTAAGCTACTCACTATATTTATTGAAGCATTAGTGCTCATATAAAACATTTATTGTTTTCAGATCATTGTGACAGCCAGAGGGATTTGGATGCAATCTTCTGTCTAACTGAAAGACATTCTCTAAAACATCAGAGTAGAAGGCTTTTGAGATCATCTAGTGTCTTATTTGTTTTCTTGTGATTCCCTGTATTAAGGGAAAGGTGATTTAAATCCTTATCATAAGTGTTTATAAGTATATTATTGTTCATCAAGAGCATTTACAGATTTTTATTATTCTTTTTCTAACCCCACTGTAGCAGTTGCTGGTGTTTGTATAATTCGCTTATGTTTGCTTTGGTTAAACTTTCACCTCTATATTCAATACAATTACAATGCCCAATTTCAGGAGGGTTTGTTGCACGTTTTAAAAGGTGGGGCTATCTTTAAAGTATTTTATATGCATATGGTTAGGTTATTATCTACCTGTTTGCATTCAACAGACTACATCGTACAGCTGTTGAGAGATACAGGTTATTTCAAACAAAACGAGTCTAGTGTATTGTACAAAGAAATATCAGCTAGAAAGCAAAGAACAGACACCGCACTTACTCATCTTCTAATACCCACATGGTATTTGACAGCTCTCATTTCAGCCAGTAATACCTGTGCTCAAGCCTGTCAGATTTTATTTTAATAGGACATTAACAGAAGAGAGAGTAAAATTTGTCAGCAGGATTCACAAGTGGTTTTGTGTATGCACAGATAAGAGTCTCACCTGTATCCACTTATCTGGAATAGCCATGGCTAGTCGATAATCAAAACCTCCTCCTCCCTCTGCAACAGGACGACAAAGAGCTGGCATTCCGGAAACATCCTTAAAAACAACCCCACACAACATAATTTGCATAGCATTGCAATTGCTACTTTGGATTTTCCACCATACAGTAATACTTCTATACAAACACTCTGTAAACTATAAACAGCTTCGCAGATGAACCTGGTTAAGGGAGGGAAAAAAAGATTATAAAGCCCACAACAGTGAGTAATTACTACATGCAGTTTTGCTGTTTGAATGCAGAAGTTAAAGGGAAAAGCATTATGACTTTCCTCATCAAATACTCTGCTACACAGTATTTTAATAAAGTAGGTATTTGAGGGGGAAGAGACCTCAGTAGATGCAGAATTTGAAATAATTAGCTCTCTTGAGCTCCAAGTAATCAATAGCAAATAGAATGTAGTCAACAGAAGACAAATTAAACCTTCATTTTGTTGTTTGATATTTTGCATAAAGAATGACACAAAAAATAAATGGGAGAATATACAGTTCAGTAAGGAAGAAAAACACAATCTCTACTCTTTTCCTAACTGCATAAACCCAAAACTATTGATCCAGTTAGCCTTGGAAAGTGACATGCTCTTTACTGCAAAATTTTCCAGTTTCATATTGAGGGATGCTTATAATTCTTAAATTTGAAATTACAAGTTCTTAAAATAGTTATTTCACCATTGTTTTCATTTAATTATGTCACATAACACCCTTTTTCTAAAGTTGGCTTATCTGTAGAGAAAATGCAAATCTCCAATAATCACAAAATATCTATCAGTACTCGATTTTGTTCACTTCTGTCAGTGAGAAGGCATGTCACCACAATGCTTACGGATTAATATACACCTCTTGTGCCTGCACTGGAGAATTTATGGAATTAAATTCTGACTAGAACTAGAGCTTAATTAGGAAGCTCATTCTGGTTTTCTGGATTCAATCCAGTTTTCAAGCCAATTGCTGCGTTAGACTAGCGAAAAAATGTTTATGCTTGAAGTTATACATAAATAAGCATACATGCATACACAGACCCCTCATACAGACATAAGTGAGAGACTGACCACATCTTCATGAAGTTCATGGATGGCATGTTGGGGGTGGAAGGCGAGGCTGTGTCCCAGAGGGACCCTGACTGGCTGCAAGAATTTATCAACAGTGAGCTCAGGAATTTCAGCAAGGGCAATTTTCCAATCCTGCCCCTCAAACTGAATAAGCCCTGCATCCATATGGGCTGGGGACTGCCAGGCTGGGGAGCAGCTCTGTGGGGAAGGCCCTGGGGCTCTGAGCTGGCAGCAAGCTGAGCATGAGCCAGCAGCCTGCCCTGGCAGCAGTGATGGCCAGCAGCAGCACTGGCAGGATGAACAGCAAAGCCAGGAGATCAAAGGAGGGTATTATCCCCCTTTACTCAGCAGTTACTAGATCACACAGAAAACTACATCCACATTTCACATGCTGTAGATACCAAATAATGAATCAAAATTTCTTTCCAAACTTTTAGATATTGTAAAAGCAAGTTCAACAGCTCTCCTAAATCAGAAAAGATAAAGACTAACGGTCACCATCTTTCAGGACAAGACGATCTGAAACAAAAGGTTTGCTCTGTAAAGCTGTGAGGTCTACCTGGACAAGGCTGAGAGATGAGTAGCTCCCATCTACTTCAGTCATAATTTGAAAGTCAGATTTTTGGGAAGTAAAATTCATAATTTAATACTATTTTTACCTATCTACAGATTTCACCTGAACAATAAATCAGCAGTGGTTTGTTCAGTGTATTTTGCACCAACTGTAAACAGCCAATGTCCAAGCATTTATTCAGACCTTAGTTTGAAGTTTGATGCGCATAAAAACCCCCAGAAAGCTCAGTAGCAGGGTTTGTTTGCCTGTTTGTTTTTCCAGTACTTCAGGCATGATGCAATTTTACTTAACATTTTTAGTTCTCATTATACAAAACTTTAATCACAGCTTTATTTTGAAGGCCAAAATGAAAAATAAGCATATAGTCAGTAATACCAAAATACTTAGAAATTACTAAGACAGTGAATATATAGAATATTAAGAAGCTGTAAAAAAAAATCAGTTAATTAAGGAATATATTATAATTAGTTATGGCTAGACAAAAACATTCTTCTCATGTGGCACTCATTCAGTCATCATTATAGGCAAGCAGACATTCTTCATTGCCTTTTATAATTTTCAGTTATGTCAGTAGTTTCTCCTTCCAAAGTTCTCCTTTAACCATGCAGCACATTAATCAATTCTGTATTTCATGTAGCGACTCCCACAGGCAGAAAATGATGTATTGAAACAGAAGCAGTTTCCAACTCAAGCATGAGAAACTGAAGACATGTCTTATTAAACCAAGAATTCTTGGGCCAGGTAATACAAGCTGCCTGAATTCAGAATTTCATTGGTACGAATGCTTATAATCTAAAACTACCTACAAAATTAACAGATTTCACATAAGCCTACAGCTGAATGAAACCATCTCAAGTTTACTAGTGATTGTTCACCAGAGGTTGTTTTTGATAGCTTGTCATTAAGCTTTTAGCAGTGGTTGTCTATAGTATAAAACTTTACCATAAGTACGAAATTAAGTTAAGCAGTATTTTGGTTTCTGAAGATAAAAAGGGAGCTCTTAAGCATACAAAAAGTTTTATTAGAAATTCGTATAGACCCTAATGATATCAGACAGATGCAACTTTTCCTTTAAAACGAAAAGAACTATTTAAACTTAGTAACAGAAAAATCCTCAAAGTTTACATGATTTTTTCTCTTTTAGATAAAGAAAGTATCAGTGAAAACACACCTATTCTTAGAACTTCAATGCTCTGGTGTTTCATACTATTAAAAATTCCATGTGCCAACAATAATATTTTTTCAGTCGCAAAAGTTTAATTGATCTCAATCAGCTCAAGTAATTAGTCCATTTACTCCCTCAGAAACCTGGAGAAATTGAATACTACATTTAAATTAGCATACACATTCAACATGTATAAATTTACTGCAGTTATTTTGGAGGGGAATTGTCAATTATGCCAATATAATTGAAAATACACAAAACCACACTAAGGCTGTTAATCTTTAGTACTAGGATTCACTACTGACAAATTGCAATCAGGAAAAAGCAACAGGCAAATAAAAACAAATCTCATGACAAGTTCAAAGAGATAAAAGAAAAGAAATGCCTACATTAATTAATGACTCATTAATGCAGAGAATATTCCCAAAGTGCATATTCCAGTTGCTTTTCCCCATAAGGCAAAGTCTGTCCACTAATTAGTATTTCTCAGTTTATGTCACTCCTTGAGTAGTGACTTGATAATTACCAGGAAATTCACATCCCAAAGCGAAGTTAATCAATATTAATGTGATTGAGGGTGGCAAATTCGGATCTTACCTCTGCTATGGTTATGCATTCTGGATGCAAGAGTTTAGTCATGTGATTGGCCAGCATTAGATAGCACAAAGCATCTTCATCCACATGTAGGCCAAAATATTCGTTGTAATCTCCACTGAACCCTGTGCCTAATAAAACAGGAAGTTTTAAAGGCCACAGTCACTTAAAAAAAAGCCAATAGATATTTTGCAATATGCAATTTTATAAGCACCAGATTTGTTCACAATTACAGATCTATCCATATAGTAGCACAAGATATTAGCAAATCCAGAATTCTTGGTGCTTTCAGTGAATTTCATAGCACAATTTCCACAGCAACAGAGGTGCAACAGGACTGCTGAGATTAGAGCCAATTAAATTACTTACCAATCCCATGATGGTGATACAACATAGATGTAACACCATCAAATCGAAATCCATCAAAGCGATAGTCTTCAATCCACATTCTCAAATTCGACAGAAGGAATCTCAAAACTTCCCAGCTGAAATAACATGAATATATTTTATAACCTTGAGAAACCTTGGGATCAACTAGAGTTCCTTATACCATGTTTCCCACTTGCACATATGGTAGCTGTACCGGACATTTTACCATTTTAATGACATCCCAATTCTTCATTAGCCTTTTCCTAAAAAAATTCCCTTAAAGCTTTATCTTTTACTGCATGTAATTTTAATATTGAAGCTAGGGGGTTAGGAGAAATTGTCAACTATCTATATAGACATCTAATAGGTTAGTGTTTGAAGACATATGCTATATTTTAATACTCATGCTTGCCACTGTACCTTTTATTTGGCTCCCTAAATATGGTTATACTGTTAGAAAAGTTACAGAAATGGTAAGAAAATTAAAATAGGTAAGTTGTGTCCCCAAGATTTTATGGATTTACAGCTATTTCTTGGCATAACAGAAGTTGAAAAGCTGTTGTCCCCCATTGTCTCCCCCAGTTATTTACAAATCACACAACCAGACTAGATTATCAAATCACCTACTGTGTTGCAAATTTACACATGTAAGGAGTAAACCAACTTACGGAAGTTAAGGAGTTCAGGATAACACGAATGGGGTATAATGCACACACACACAAAGTGCAGACATGAAATCAAAACTACAAAAGAGGTTCCAAAGTGAGTAAGCATGTGAAGGCATTTATGAATAAAATTTGTTATTTAAGAACAAAACAGTTTCAGGAGCAGTTTTCCGACTATTTATCAATTCCTCTCCAAGGACACTGGTCTCAGTAGCTTCAAAAGACCCCCACATTTTGTTTCTACTGTTCACCCTCTTCACTGCTACCCTTTCTGCCGCCTTCAGCATAGGCTGCCTCGGCTGCATCTGCTGAAAGCTACGGCTCCAAAAAGCTCATCCCTCTCAATCAGAGGTAATGAAACTTTTTTGCCCATGTCACCTTCAACACTTGCCAGTGTTACTTCTCTCTGATCAGTTTCCCAAGATAGCACAACGACAACCTCACTCACTCACAAGTTCAGAGAGGAGCGCAAGCCATGCAGCTGCACGCAGGGTCTTGCCAACCACCCTCTGGTGGGGCAGATGTACGGGGTACCCCTAACACAAAGCATATCAGTCAGCATCACTTACAATTTACCTAGGCATGTAGGTGGCATAAGGCAGTGAAAGAGATCGGGGTACCCCTAACACAAAGCATATCAGTCAGCATCACTTACAATTTACCTAGGCATGTAGATGGCACAAGGCAGTGAAAGAGACCCTCTCTATGTTTCACTTTAACAGATGCTGGAGGCAGACTCATGAGTCAACTATGACACAAGGAACAAACACCATTTTGACAAAACAAATGTCTCTGCCTTCCTTCCTCCAAAAATCTTCCTCACATGAAGGATGCTTTATCACATGAAAAGATGGGATGCCTTGGACATACTAGAAAGCTGATAAATCCTGATCTCAACGAATAGCCAATTCTTCTTTAGTTCAACAGGATTATAATATTTCTCCTTTTCTTTGCATCTATTGCACTCAGATATCCTCTTGTGCATATAAATATAGAAATATTACCAAATCAAAATCTCCAAATTTAGGAAAAGCAAATCAGTTCAATGTGAATTGCCTCCATTCAATGCCTTTTCTGGGCATGGAAACCTGCCAAGCTTTTTTGTTCCACCCCTGTGTTTCCCCACCTTGCCCCAAATCATCCAGTTTACAAGATAACATTATACTACCAAGACCTCAGAAGCTTGTCTACAGAACCTTTTATATATTTATTATTTCTCAGCTGAAACGATTTCCAATGAGAATGTTCTGATAATGAAAAGAATAGAAAGGTATCAGAAGTCCTACGAATTGGCAAGCTGGTCACAAAAACACAACTTTGTGAAAGTGCTCACTGGATCCTTTTCTGACCCGTCATCAAACTTTCAGAAAGCTATTTGCTGCAAGCTAAACACGGCGAGCAAAGTCAAAGCAGAAGCTGTATCGCAACAAAAATACTGTCTCACGCAGAATTAAGATAATGCACATACTAAGAGTAGATTAATTGCCACAAGCCCCAGCTAGACTTGAAAGATACTTCTCCTCATTACAGGGTACTTGACATTCTAGCCTTCAAGTTCTTAAGATGGTGAGGAGGATTTGTGCGTTTGTAAAACATACACAGAAGTCTCAAAATGGATAATAAATGTAATTTTTTTCCACCCTTGTTGGCACAGAAAATTGACCTTTGTAAAAAGATGGAGGACGAGGATGAAAATAAACTGTCATGACTTTTACATGAAAAAGTGAGTACAGAGACAAACAAACAAGATGAGTTTGTTGAACCAAAAGATTAGTTAGCAAATTGATGACATCAAAAACCTGAGTAGGAGCAGCAGATGTTTTCCAACCATCTGATTGCACATGGGAGAGAAGATTGCAAATATATCAATAAACAAACAAATTAATTCTGATTCTAGTCTAAACTTGGTAAAATTCAGTTTTAGCAAAATTTCTAGGAAGGATGTCAACTAGCAACCACATTGTCTTTTAGAGAGAGAACTCCACAGTTCTGACAGACAAGCCAGAGTAACAGTTGTTTTGAAACATGCGAATCACACAAACCATACAGAGGTTCATGATTTCATCCAACTCCATTTGTTTACAGGAGCAGCAGCATTAGAAATAGAAGCTGGCAGAAGTAATAACCAACTTCGCAGAATACCAGTAGAGGCCAAAATCACAGAGTAATAGAAATACATCCACCCTAGAAGCAATAATTCGGGAACATTTCTAAAAGAAGTACATTCTCATAATTTTACAGACAGACATGGAAACAGGACAGCATTCATTAAGAATGTAATTTCTTTTGGGCAAAAGCCATATCTTAAATTATATCCTAACATTCTCTCACATTTTTGCATAGCGTAAAATTGGGAAAGTTCTTTCACTGCATGAATGATCTAAGAGAGGAAAAATATATGCTGTATTATCATTAAGGAACAGAATGATTTACACTAAGAATTTTAAGTAATTCAGAATTCACTAAGGCATTGTTCAAAACAAAAGGTCTTTGCAGAGAAGTCTTGCTGTTATTTCTCCCCTTTGGGGCCAACTGTCCCCCTTGGGGCTTTCATATTAAGAAAAGATATCTCATTTGAAGAATTGAAATGAGCATTTCTAGCTAGATGACCTGGTTTCACAAGGTGATAAGAAATACAACAACTGTCCTATGCTAGGTCAGTAGAAAACCTGTGAATTGCTTTCTAACACTCGGTATTTACTTTTTCCCCCTCCTCTGCTAATGAAAATAATCATTTACTGTAAGAATTCTAAAATCCGATCCAAGATGAATATGAAATATCTAGATGTGAGCAAGTAATGCATTTAAACCAGTTACTTTTGTCACTATGGGGTAAATAATAATATCGGCTGTACCTAAACCAGTTTGAAGCTGCAATTCTTGAACCATATCAATGTCGACCATCAGGAACTGCATTTATTATTATGTATTATAGCAAATGAGTTAAACTGCTGACCTCACCTATGATGATTTACCTGTTTTCAACTCTGAGTGTTTAATAAAGTTAACACAGAGTAGCACTAACTTGCTAAAATGTTGTTTTTCAAATTATCCCCAGACATTTCAACAGCTGACTTAAATCCCACCAATGGATTGCTGAACATAAAGGATCTGGTGTTCAAACTGATTAACTTTAACTTCCAGCGAATCTGGTACAAGTTATTTTATGAACTTAACATCCAGATTTAATACAGAGATGGTTTTGTTTGTTGTTTTTTTCACTGCTGTTTGCTTGTCATTTAGATGCACTTTGTTTGAACAGAGTGATACAAAAGGGTTATCAGTCTTACTCTGTTTGGAAAACAACAACAAAAAGAATAAACTCTCTGTACTGCAATCTGCTTCACTTACCTCGCTGTCTTCTAGGCAATATCATTGCCAAGACCCCAAGCCATTTCTAGCCATAAGGGATTGAAAAGTCAAAGCAGTGCAGCAAGTGCCCATTTTTCAGCCAAAGGACAATCCTGAATGAGACTGCTAGACTGCTCTTGATACCTACACTCCTAATTATACCAAATTCCATCCTATGGGGACATACGCATCTCTCCATCAGTCAACAAAGTCAGACAGCCATTAAGAGACCGAAAGAGCTTTTGCTTGGTGATCCACGCTGCATTATGTCTGCAAAATGAACTTTGCAGGCAACAAATTATAAAAGAGCTATCCTTCTGTGGCATATGATAATCTGTGAGCAGAAGGGATCTGCAGCAACATGTCACTTCTCTTGTATCAATATCAAGAGACAGAAGCAGTGAATTAACTTTTTTCCCCCTGCAGTAACAACCAGAGGCACTGATGTAGAGTGCTGCCTTTTCTGGACCTAGGATTTTGGAAAGTGCATTGCATGACTGCGTTCTATATACAACAGATTGTTTCTTTTCTGGCTATTTCAGCAATATCAAAGTTAACTTTTGGACATAAAATACATTTTAAGGAAAAAGCTTATTCTGAAAACAAGTAATACTCATTAGTAGATATCAACAAGTGAGAAGTTACATTACAGGAGATTAAAGCTTTCAGTTTAACATGCACTGAATATTTAACATTGTTTTAAAACAAACAGAAGACACAAAGTGCTGAGGACAGAGTCCTCTCCAGCTTCCAGCTGCATAAGAATTTAGCTGGTAAAAGTTTTCAGAATGGCTGCAACATTCTTGCAGTATTCTTGAATTTTTCATCACAGTGCTACAGTATTTTGGATATAATTAAAATAAATTAATATGATTAAATTGATTTTATAACACCCTTACCATAAGCAACTGACCCAAAAGACAACCCTTGTGGTTATGATCCCTTCTGTCAAGCAGTTCAAATCACCGCACTGTGTAGGTGATCTGGGGGCCAAAAGATGTGTAAGCTGTAAGACCTCTCATTCTGCAACATAATCTTGTACATGGATAAGGCTTGAAATTAACACTGGCAACAGCAGTAGATTTTTACACACCTAAATCTTGGGAAGACGTTACTCATACTGCATGG